TTTTATTCATTTATTTTTGCTTGTAGTTTATTATAGTCAATGCAGATGCACTGCATAGAAAAAGACTTGATCATCCCATGTGATATAAATGAATAAAATCTTTTCAAATAAAGCTATTGAAATCATCTCATCTGGTGAAATTATATTCATATGGCAATATATATTGTGAAAAAACAAATATTGCAGCCCTAATTTACATATTATTTGTGTAAAAAGGTTTTCGCCAAAGGAAGAAACCAATAAAGATGGGTGCATCTGAGTTTTTATTAAGGGGGAAACTGCTACAAATACACTGTGTAAGTATCTTATTAAACCTCAGTCAGTATTACAGCTTCAAAAATGCACACCATCATTAACATCAGCATTATTACTGTTATCTCATTATTATTCAAAGTTGTGAATGCTTACATCACACTTAGGAAACACACAAACGCAGGTCCTACAGTGGCGCCCTCTGTCTGCAGCTTTCAGGACAGTTTTTTTCCTGCTGCAGAGTGGATTTGTGAATCCAAAAGTCCATAACGAGTCCAGTGAGATTCTCACTCAAGCGTCCAATGCTTATGGTCTCAAAGGATTCCACTGAGTCTTTTCTCCTTTACACGGAGAGCAGTCCATCACGCATGATGTTCTGGTGGATGGCCATCAACCAACACAGCAAATGCAGGAGTATGTTCTGTATGTTTAATCTGTGACGGTATGCATTTATGTTACAATACAAAAAGAGTGAAAAATATACACTTTAAGGTCATTCTCAAAGGTATCAGAACTGGAGAGCTGTGTTGTACAATATCAAAAGTTTCACTTAAAAAAAAAAGAGAGAGAGAGAGAGAAACATACTATGCTACAGCTGTGCACATGAATTTTGTTGAGCAATATATTTAGACACTTAAAAAAAACATCAAGTAAAAACACTGGGATAAACCAGGAAACTCTTGTCTTTTTTCTACCGTCTAGTCCTCAATTTCATGTTATTTTTTCAGAGCAAGCCCATTAAATACTGACACCATGTAAATCCCCAAGGGAAGCCAATGAAAAACACTTTGCCACCAAAATACAGTCAACACATGTTAAGTAAGCAGTTCTCGTTGGGCAGCTACTGACAAATTCTCACTGCTTTGTGTTCAGTAAGGTTTATTTTTGCAAATGACCAATTACTGAAATTACTAATATCTGAACTCGACCTACCATTTGTTTTTTCTTTTCACACAACAATGACATGACAAATTCACCCGCCTCTTGTGGCAGTTACACTAAATAACTGGAACAAAATTCCTACTCAATCATCAAAAGACATTTGAGTTAAAGTGCAATGATTTAACATGCTTCTTAGCAGAAAAGGTGATCACACCTTAATCCAAATTTCAACATACGCCACAGAAAAAGTGGCAGTGTTGCCATTTTATGTACAATCTAACAAAAAGAAAAGATAAATGATCACTTATACTATAAATGTATAAGCCTCTTTATGGGCCTCTTAATAAATAGCAACAAGGACATTCCAACATTACCCAGAAGGCCGTAGACAATTATAAACGGCCTATGTTCAGTACAAATGCACATCAAAAGACATGTAACACTGTGTCCTAATGAGATGCGATCTTATTTGTCTCTCCGTTGAGCTTAAGTCTGTGTGAAATAAAAATTTATAATGTTTATTTTGCTAGCACACATTGTTACACTTAAGATGAAAAAACAATCTGTGCAAGTTAGAAAAGAAAAGTTTGTTTTGGTATACTTCAATCAAAATCTGACCGTTTGCTTCTGTGTTTTGAAGTGGCGGTCCTTTTTTGTTGATGTCAGTTTGACAAGCTCAATCTCTCAAGAAAACATAACTATTTTTAGTATAGTGAGAAAAGTGGCTACTTCATACAAGTTCATATATTTCAATCTTGTAAACATAACAAACCCCACCCTTAAACCTACCTCTAAAGCTGTGTTCACACTGGCACATGCAAATAAATTGCAGTAGTTGCGCATAAATAGACACATGAACATTGAGTTTACATCAAATTTGCTTCATTTGCGTATCAAATTCACTCCACAATAGATGTGGATTCACATCATAGCTAGGGCTTTTGTTTGCCTGGTGACTCTGGATTCGTTGCTAAATGGCTAACATTGATTTTACTGAGAATACCTGTGTTTATGTGCATTAGAAAGGCTAAAAAACAGCACAGATTTGATCTGAGTGGTGTCTGAGTGCACTATATTTAGAGGTGCGCCCAGTTTGATCAACCGTTGTCTGGTGTTGGCAAAAGGATTTCCCCTCGGGACACCAACAACAGGCGCTATGTCATAATCACACCCCTACAAGAGCAAGCTCACGATTGGTTAATGCGGCCTGAATGTCTGCTGAAGTTTAGTTTAGACCGATTTGCACAATACGCACGCAAAACGATCAACTTGCGCCATTTCATTCGTGCCAATCATGTCAGCCATTCCACCTTGAGCCGCAGAATGTCTATTCATGTCTTCGCAGTGAAATAATATGTAAATCACTGGCACGTCATCAATAAATCATCCGCGTTTCGTGTGAACGCAGCATTAACCCATGTTTAGTCATACAAAAATGTACGGTTTTAAAAAAGAGGTGTGGCACCCAAACCCGCCCCTAAACCCAATCGTCATTGGACGATAAGCAAATTGTACTAAATTGTATGAATGACATCCTACAAATTAATTCGGATTGCCCACTAAATTAAAAAGTTACAAACTGGTGTAAGATTGTGTTGGCAAAACGTACTAAAACGTATGAATTAGATCATACAAATTAAAGCTAAGTTATGGATGGCTGTGTAGATGCAAATTAAATTGTATGAATTATACGAATTAGCCACCTTTCTGACAATATGTATAATAGCTGCATTTCCTTTTGAGATTGGTCGAAATACAATCACAATGTTCCAAGCTATGTTATTCCCAGATAACAACCACTAAATCTAAAAAAAACTGGTTCATCCGGTTACTACAAATAATCTTGGCTGTCGGTATATTCAAGCACACATCTGTCATGCCAATGTTCTTGACTGAATAATAAGAAGGTTAGTGTAAGCTGAATTCAGCCGTTTTATCTCACTGCAAGTTTTATGTTTAATTAAACATGCAGTATAACATTACGGAATACTCTAATTAATGTTTTGTCTAATGTTTTGGGGGTAAGTAGCCATGTAATGAACAGGATAATAAACATCCAGCTGGTGTTTAGCAAAATAAAGACCTTCAGACTTATAAAACAGCTGCAGAGCTGGTTGAGCTTTAATCTGTGTGAAGAACCAGCAAGATGTACGTTATTCCATAAATATTTTTTAGCACCATGAAAATGGCCAGTATCTGACTATGCGCCAAAATCCAATAGAATCCAGTCTGTTAATATTTGCACAGATGACATACATTTCATCATGCCTTTAGGACACAGTGTTAGTCTTAAAGAAATCAGTACAAAATCATCTATGGCTTTTAAGAAAACCATACAGGAATGATCACTCTAAGTGATTACACATTACACTTTCTAAATGATTAGAAACTGACAGCAAGATATTTATGGATTTACACAAGTTCATAAATGTTCCTTTCTTTCAAGTCATTTTGAGTCACTTTCATGCTGCAGACCAACGCAGAACTCAAACCCATTTCATTCCGGGCCACTACATTTCAGATTGGACAATGATTGTGACACGCTTTACCTTGCTAAAATAAGAATAATTCACACAATGGAGAAAATCACAATGGCTCTATTGCGACAGATTGAACAAACACTCAATTTCAACACAGAAATGACTCACAAAAAAACAAAACAAACAAACATCTTTTTTCTAAAATAAAAAAAGTTGGTAACCTCAAAAACAAATGCTCCCAACCAGCCCTAATGGTCTTTCATTCTTTAGCCATGTTTAGCTCCAAAGATATCAAAACCACTATATCTGACAGAGATATCAAAGCTATACAAACAGTGATTTGATGCATCAGCATCAAACAAATCTGCCAAACCAAGCACAGTAACTCTTAGAGCTCGTCCTTCACTTTAAAAAAAAGCTGGGTTGTTTCAACCCCAATTTCAAAATACGGACAACACCCCATATTGAAGTTAAATTAAATTAGATTTCAATAATATATTTTAAACCTAATCTCTTTTCAAAGTTTGGGTTGAGACAACAAAGCATTGTTTTAGTGTGTTGTAGGCTGGTAACACTATACGCAAGTACGTAAATGCAAACAAAACATCTATGAAAGCACAATTTTACACATTATTTTGTTTTGAAGTGTCAATGCTAGCTAATACAAGCTAATGTGCATTTGTAACAACTCAAAAAGAGGGGATTCGGGGGCTTTTCTTTGTCCAATCAGCTGCTGAAGTAATAGTGGAGCAACAGTTTGATGAGAATCTTGATGCGTTATTATAGCAGTGTTTCCCAACCCTGTTCCTGAAGGCACACCAACAGTACACATTTTCAATCTATTCAAGCACACCTGAATCAACTAATCAGAACATTAGAAGAGACTCCAAAACCTGAACTGAATGGGTCAGATAAGGGAGACATGCAAAACATGTACTGTTGGTGTGCTTTCAGGAACAGGGTTGGGAAACACTGATCTATAGTACCCTCTAAACAATCCTGGGTTGTTGTAAAGTAACATTGGATCACATATGGACAAACCCAACATTGGGTTTTATGTTGTTAATTGCTTGTGTCATTTTTTCAGTTAAATTTAAATGAAACTTTTAAACCCAATGGTTGGGTTTGTCAATATAGCCCATACTACATGCTGTTTTGGCGCATTTTACACATTTATGTACTTCCGCAGAGTATATTTCAGTCTCAACAGTGAGCTTCTGGTATACTTTACAGCTTGTGGCAGAGAAGAACGCTATAGGAACACAATTTTTTAGGTACAGCATGTAGGAACTTTAGATTCCTATACCGAAAACTTAATCCTATCAAACCAATACTCATCTAAACATCAGCACTCCTTAACACTGTACACAGGCTTGAACTCAACACTTACAAAGTAGAGAAACCCTTTAATAGCAGTAGTAAAAGGCAACAAACCTAATTTGCACTCTGACTTTGAACACGTTGTGGCCAAAGTTTACAAAAGCACACTCTTCCACATCCTGGAACTTTCTTAATACTTTCTCTTAATCATTTGGTGCCTTCATATTATGTTGGAATGTTCAGATTAGTAAATGCGTGGGCAACTAGTTGGTATTGCTCACAATAATCTAATTGTGAATACAGTATTCATTTACATCCTAATTTTGAATTACATTAATACAATTTGGCTTGCTAGCCCTTTCCAATCAACCAATCATTGACCATTTAGTGGTCATTATATGAAACAATACTATGTTTCACAATATTCTCTGTGGCAGCACAGAAATGATAAAATCCATGCTTATTTTACAGATAAAATAAATATCTTCTCTTTAATTCCAGAGGACCAAAGACCGTTCCCTAACATTTCCTTTTTATTCCATTGAATTATCTGTGTATCATAATTCCAAATAGCATTAAAGTTCATAAAGTTCACTCAAAAATGAAAATAACCTCATTGTTTACTCTCCCTCATGTGGTTTAAATGAGTTCATTTCTTCGTATGAACACAAAAGAAAAGATATTTTGAAGAATGCTGGTTGCTGGAAACCATAAGCCCTTTTCAAACATTCCCACTTTTCTGGGTAAATTACCATAAATTTTCCGAAAAGAGATCATGTATGAACAGGCCCTTTTAGAAAATACCAGAAATGCATTCCAGCAATATTCTGGAAAAATAAGTTGTAACATTAAAAGTAATTTGCTGGAATGCTGCTCTGTGTGAACGTAGAATAAAATATGGCAGAAATAGTGTGTTTACATTTAAAATCACACTGACGTGAGAGGTCTCCTCCAGCCAACACTTAGGCGCATACACATTCGTGCCGTTTATGAAAATAAACACTTTTGCATTTGAATGCATTTCCAGACACATTTAGCTGCTAGTTGTTAGTCAGATAACTTGGGATGCACCGATATGGATTTTTTTGGCCGATATCGATAACCGATAACTCCTAAGATTTGGCAAACACAATGCATAATGTAAAGACAGAATGTGGCGAACAGTTAAGAACCCCTATGCTGGATTCAGTGACTGGCACATGTCTCCCCTGCTGCTGTGAAGACTCTGACGACTCACTAGTCACTATGTGTGTGCGTGGTGATAGCCATTATAATCCTTATAAATATGCTGATCAAACTGAATACAATCTCACATCAATAACACATGGCAAGCAAGTGCTAGACAGGCAGTTCTGTACAATTAACTAACTTGTCGGTTTAAAGATATCGGCCTAATTTTAATATCGGATCGATAACAATAACATTGAAAATAGCATTTGTCGGTCGATAACGATATGGCCGCCGATATATCATGCATCCCTACAGATCATGTTTTTATGTTCATTATTAATGCCAACTGTGGAAAAGAAATATCTATAAAATGCTTGCGAGTTTACATGAAAGCCCTGTGTTTAGCTGCGTGGCTCTCGTGCATGTGAAGGAGGGCTCCAATGAGTATATTTCGACATGCGAAAGTGTTCCTCCATATGTTTACATCAAAGTTGTTCACAAAACTTATCCATCAACAGAATTTGTAAGGTTGTCAAATGAGTAAATGTTTAGCTGTGGTTCTCGCTTCTGTCGTTAGATGACTCTGGGACAAAAGCAGCGACATGAATGCTAAAGCTTTAGATAAAAGTGAACTATAAACAAAAGCCTGACCCCAATTATGTTTAAATATACAAGCGCAGCCTTTTAGAGGCCGTTTCTGGTTAATTGTGTCAGAATTTACTGGTATTTTGTAATGGATGTGTGAATGGTCTTTTCTGGAGAAATCCCAGAATGTTCTTGTCTGTGTTAACAGCGCTTTTTAAATTTATTGGTAAAGTCGCTCCGGAAATTTTCATATATTTATAGGTATCACTATGTATAAGGGGCTATCGACTTCCAAGTCCAGAAAGCAGCATTTTTCAAAATATATCAAGATATAAAATTATATCTTCTGAATAGAAGAAAGCATGGCACTCGTGTACGTGAATGAGGGCTCTGGTGAGCACATATAAATATGCGAAAGTGTTCCTCCATATGTTTACATCGAAGTTGTTCACAGTATTTATTCATCCACAGAATTTATAATGTAGTCAAATGTGAAAATATTTAGCTGTGGTTGCAATTCTGCCTTTGGACATCTCGCGACAAAAGCAGCTACATGAATGCTAAAGCTTTAAACAAAAGTGAAACCATCAACAAAAGCCTGAACTCTATTATATTTACAAATACAAGCGCAGCTGTTTAGAGGCCATTTATAGTTAATAATATCAGAATTTACCAGTTTTTTGGGTTGGATGCGTGAACAGTCTTTTCTGAAAAAATGTGTGAACCATGCTTTTTTTAATTTACCGTTAAAGTCGTTACAGAAATTTTCTGGATATTTTTTCTGGATATCATCACTTTATGAAAGGGGTTATCTTCCAAGTCAATTGAGTCCAGCAAGCAGTATTTTTTAAAATATTTTTACCTTTTGAACAGAAGAAAGATACTCAGAGGTTTTGAACAAGTCAAGGTTGAATAAATGACAGAATTTTCTTTTTTGGCTGAACTATACTTTAAAACAAGAAGTCTCACCAGACTTGTCAGCACTAGTGAGCGATACTGATGAACACTACAAATGGACACATTAAAAGAAGATTAAATGTTTCAGCACACCACTAGAAGCTTGCTGTCATATATTATTAGTGCACCATTTAAAACTGATGTGTTTTTTTTCTTCCAAAAATATAAATTTGAATCGTATCTTATGCTCCTTAGAAAATATTACTGTAGCAAGTTAAATGCAGAGTCCCATCAGTCAATATTCTGTAATTGAGCTATAAAAGAACAATGACACTAGAATTCAGCTGTGTAGAAAACGGTGACGAGTGCAAGTATTCACATCAACTCTTGCTTTTAAAAAAAAGGTCAGATGATATTCAGCATTCCATAAAGGATGAAAAATGAGTGATAACCAAGCTTATTCTCTCTTTTCTGTACTGGTATTGCCTAAAGATGAGAGTTCACTTTTCGCAACAAAGTTCAGGTTTTTTTAACGCTTTTGATAACATGACACTGTCGAGCGTGGATCTCTCTGTACCATATCTCCAGGGTCTGTGGCACAGAAAACAACAGCAAGAACCAGCAATGGTGACACTGATCTAATTCCTCGTCTGACCTTTTTGCATACATCATTGTATTGTTGGCTGATGTTCAGATGGTTCCCTTCAAATACAGGAAGCGACAAGCCTTCTCAAATCTTCACGACTGGCAAACAAGCTAGAGAGCTACAGTAATTTATGATCTGGCTGGGGTGTAGCTTGGAAATGTAGAGCAGAGAAGAGGTAGAGTGAGAGGAGTGAAACAGAGGAACGATCGATAGTTTTTAGCCTAAAATGAGACGGGTGAGAAGATCTTTGACATGGTGGAACAGGATATGATGCGAGTCTCTCAGTTCTCGGACAGTGAGAGGGTCAGTGCTGCCTGCAGTGCTGCCTCCTCATCAATACTGTAGTCCTGCACAGACACACAGAGAAATGGGGGTGTTTAATGGAGTTTAAAATTCAGTTAGTTTTTACACAAGTGTAATCCGTTTCCACTGACTGGTACAGTACGGTACAGTACAGGTCACCTTTATCAGGCTTGCGTTTCCACTACCAAGGGTACCTTTTTGGTGTGCGGGGTGTATAACAGAAAGTATCTCGCTAGAATAAATGTCTATAGTAAAGCTGTACAGGTTGTTCACATATCATATGAGAAGCACTTCTCAAAACAAAGATGCTTTACACAAATAAATATTTGTGTATAAATGTTTATTACTAACTTTTCTATGAACATAATTTGATTATAACTGCCAATCAATGACAATCCAAAATACTGTAAGGTCTGCAGTTGTATAAAATAAATATATGCAACATATATGAACACAAAAAGACCCTAACAGTCACAAAGTATGTCCCCAACTACAGAAATACTACACACCGCATACATTTAGTCCTTATTTAGGTTCAAAAATAAAACGCAAAATAGCCGACAGTAGGTGCAAACCGCTCAGCTGTATCTTTAATCTTCACCAGCACATGTAACCTCTGTTAGAGAGTAATGCTGTTGTTCCGAGGTCATAATAGCTAAAAGACCATAATAAACATGGCAATTTGTTCGTGATTCAGGTTGCTGAAACAATTTGCTCAATTTGTTTTGTCGGGCTTCACCTTTGTTCGCGCTTCACTCTCGCATTTGTCCTTTTCTGAGAAGATCAGATGACAAAGACACTTCAATAATCAAGTACATGTTATTACCATCAGCTCAAGAAGTTCATTATATCAAATATAGACGTGATCGCAAGTTCCCTGAGGAAAGCAAAAGCCGCTCGCACTTTTAGATGAACAGGATACGGCAGATTTAGTTATTTTTGGCGTTGTGTCTGTACATCAAGACAACAACCAGATTTGTTTGAGCTCGGGTCATCCATAGCTCGTTATTATATGCATATAGTATTACAGTGTAATGTCTCGGCTGTGTATTTAAAACATGGCAGTTCCTTTATTTCATTCTGACTAGCTCCACATGAGCTCGTGACGTACAGTATCTCTGTAACCAATCAGCATTCAGCTGCGCATGTAGCTCCACCTTTTAGTACCCTTTCTCGTGGCTTGGTATGCCTTTTGACAGTGGAAACGGCCATAAAAGCTTACCGAAGCATGCTGTACCATACTGCTTAGTGAAAATGGGCCATAACTATATATTTTAAACTAATTATAATATTTAAATACAACTAATAATTCGTTTTTAGAGGTAGATTTACTAGTTTTTATTAGTTTCTATATTTTAAAATTGCTTAGTTTTAGTTTATTTTTTTTATTAGTTTCAGTATTAGTTTTTTTTTGTAAATAAGGATATTTGTTGGGTGCAAGATTGAAAATCATCAGAATAAATATTGTATAATACATACTTCTATATAATTTTTTGAAACATGTATTCAGAGAATGCATGAACAATGCATGAACACTATCTACCCATCCTCAAAGTCAAATACAAATTCAAATTCAACAGCAATAAAACATCACCATGATCATGAGTTTTGCAATGCAACTGAAGTCTAAATCACTTATTTAAATTTCATTACATTTTTCTGTTAGGAAATAAACTTACATTTTTTCCACTAGATTCTTTCATACAAGCCATCGATTTACCCACGCTGCAGTTGGTTAAGTTTGCTTCAGTCACAGCAGGCTGTCATGTACTGCTTAATCACGCATGTGGAGTAATATAAATTCACCGGTTCTCAAATCTGATCTCAGTGTACAGTTCTAATAACTGAATAACTCAGTAAACTAGTTTATTTTGAGTCAGAGGGGGGTATCAGGTATATTAAAAAGTAAGTAGCTTGTGGATAAGTGCTTACTGAAGATGCAAATCATTTTAAATGATTTAGTTCAACTAGTTCACTTAGAAAATCCAGTTAAAAAAGATTGCGGTCACGTTCACTAATACAATAATAAAACCAATTATTGAGCACAAATGTGTTAAAATTAGTACTTTTAAGTCTCTACTCGGGTTGTATTTACAGTTCATGCGGAAAGTATTCATAGCGCTTCACTTTTTCCACATTTTATTACTGATACACCCTTATTTCAAAATAGATTAAATTAATTTATTTTCTCAAAATTCTACACACAATACCCCATAATTATAATGTGAAAAAAAGTTTTTGAAATTGTTGAAAATTTATATATATATAAAAAAAAATTAAAATAAAATAAAAAAATCACATGTACATCAGTATTCACAGCCTTAAAAAGGCTCTAAATTGAGCTCAGGTACATTCTGTTTCCACTGATCATTCTTGAGATGTTTCAGCAGCTTAATTGGAGTTCACTTGTGATAAATTTAGTTGATTAGACATTATTTGAAAAAGCATACACCTGATTATAAGAGGTCCCAGGGTTGACAGTGCATTTCAAAGCACAAACCAAGAATGAAGGTTATGGGGAAAGTTACTGCAAATTTCAATGAGCACAGTGGCCTCCATCATCCGTAAGTGGAAGATGTTTGGAACCACCAGGACTCTTCCTAGAGCTGGCTGGCCATCTAAGCTGAGTAATCGGAGGAGAAGGGCCTTAGTCAGGAAGGTGATCATAACCCAAGGGTCATGCTGTTTGAGCTTCAGTGTTCTTCTGTGATGAGAGGAGAACCTTACAGAAGGACAACCAAATGTGCAGCAATTCAACAATCAGGCCTGTATGATAAAGTGGCCAGACGAAAGCCACTTCCTGCCAGAAATTTGCCAAAAGGCATCTGGGGACTCTCAGACCAAAAGAAACAAAATTCTATGGTCTGATGAGACTGAAATTGAACTCTTTGGAGTGAATGCCAGGCGTTACGCTTGGAGAAAACCAGGCACCGCTCATCACCAGGCTAATATCATCCCTACAGTGAGGCATGGTGGTGGCAGCATTATGTTGTGGGGATGCTTTTCAGCAGCAGGAACTGGAAGACTTGTCAGGATAGAAGAAAGATGAATGCAGCAATGTACAGAGACATTGTGAATGAAAACCTGCTTCAGAGTGCTCTTGACCTCAGACAGGGGTGATGGTTCATCTTCCAGCTGGACAATGACCCAAAGCACTATCAAAATATCAATGGAGTGGCTTCACAACAACTCTGTAAAGTTCTTGAGTGTCCCAACCAGAGCCCAGACCTAAATCCTATTGAAAATCTCTGAAGTGATCTGTAAATGGCTGTACCCCATCGCTTTCCATCCAAACTGATAGAGCTTGAGAAGTACTGCAAAGAGGAATAGGCAAAAATTCCAAAAGACAGGTATGCCAAGCTTATGGCATCTTATTTAAAAAGACTTGAGGCTGTAATTGCTGTCAAAGGTGCATCAACAAAGTATTCAGCAAAGGCTGTAAATACTGATGTACATGTGATTTCTTTCAGGTTTAATTTGTTATAAATTTGCAACAATTTCAAAAAAAAATTTTTTCACACTGTCATTATGGGGTATTGGGAGTAGAATTTTGAGGGAATAAATTAATTGAATCAATTTTGGTCATTAACACAAAAAAATGTGGAAAAGGTGAAGCGCTATGAAAACTTTTCGGATGCAATGAAATGCTGTCACTGCGCTGCTGTCATGTCCACTCTATGTATTTGTTGTGGGAGCAACAGCGAGGACTGACTGGAGGAGAGCCAGCTTGATCTAGCCAATGGCATCTGGATTAAAGACTCTGTGGTGCTGTACAGGGCAAACACCTGGCAGCGCAAAGTAAATAGATTTTCTTCTAAAAGGCAAACAGTAGGCTTATGTATTAAATACATTTACAAAGACAAAAATGACATTTTTGTTATAATTTTAGTTAGTTTCAGTTAGTTTTGTACACAATACAGTTTCAGTTAGTTCAAGTTTTTATTTTTATTTCAGTTAACAAAAATGTTTTTAAATGTTAGTTCATTTTTTTTTTTTTTGTTGATTTTAATAACCTTGTTACTCACACTAGGCATAGCTGTCTTGAACAGTGCCCAGGTTGTTCCCAATTTGCACTCACACTACAAGCGTACCGTGCCACAGCAAAACCGAACCACGCTCTGGCACACCTCTTCCAATCGAACCAGAGCTGGCCAACTCTACTGCGCCTGTGCCTGATTTGGAGCACTCACACTTGTCAAACAAAACGGGAAATGGGGGTCAAACATGCCTGGGCAAAGTTCCGAGAGCCTAGTGTGAGTACACCCAACACCCACCTTTTTAGTACACTACTGTGATTTATATTATATTATATATATATTATATTATAGATTTATAATTAATAAATCAAATTAATTTATAAATATTATTATTCATTATAATAATAGTATTATTAATTTTATAAATATTACATTATTATTCTTCTTCTTCTTATTATTATTATTATTATAAATAATTATAAATAATTTATTATTGATCTGCACTTTAGATATAAATGTTCACAGTTGTTAAAGAAATGACTTTAGCACTTTTGAGAAAAATCCATCAAAAGAATTTTTTTATTATTATTTTTTTTAGGAAATTGTCCAAAATGTCTTGCAACAATGTGATAACAGTCTTATTTTGTGATTTACTTGGTAATTCAACTGGGAAATCATTTAAATGAACATGCAAACATTTTGCTGATTTCGAATAACAGAGAAGTTTTGCCTTGTGACATTAATTTATGTAAACCCATTTGGCTACCACCATACTACTGTAACACATTGAGATCTTTATTTCCAAGGTTAAATTTTGTTAAGCTGCCTTAAAAGCTGGCTGTCTATGTAGGCGGCATAAAGCAAGGTAAATGGAACAAAGTGTTAGAACAGAATGAAATAAATGTACAGTGTAAGCTTTCTGCCTCCTCACCACAAATGTGTCATAGGAGAATTTGTGCCGGTGGAGAAGATGTTGCAAGAAGTTGGAGCTCTTATAGCTGGGGTCGCCCCAAGGCATAGCTGAACAAACTGGACACACCTACGAGAAGAAGCAAAGGACCATGATCAAATGATCAAACACTTAGGGGCAGATTTACTAACAATGCAATTTGTCTTTTCAGCTTTAAAACGGTACTGTCAGTTATAGTAAAAACATATACAGAGAAATATAGCACTGAAAATGTGTGGACACAGCTATTTTTGTGCCTGCCAATTTGCTTATTTGACACTGCTATTTGTGCTGCACTTATATCGATGGTTGATATGTAAATGAGTTATGTCTATAATCCTTAAAGGTGCAGTATGTAAGTTCGACACCCAGAGATTAAACTAGGTCTTGCACTCCCGGTTCAAAACACACACAAGCGCTGGTTGCCAGATTGACGACACCAACAGCAGTGTGCCAGACTGTCGAGCCAAAGCCTAACTTAGGGCTGATTTAAACTGTGTTGTAAATGAAAGCAACAGCACAAATGTTCAATATTAAAATGAGTTTTTGTTCTAACCTTTACCTGAAATCTATATTTTAAAAGTGGCTTCTATTTCTTGCAGCTGAAGAACATGATAAACTGTCAATGATCACCTCAGGTACACCCCATGTGCTTTTATTCAGTGTTAAATGCTAATAATGCGAGTCTAAGTGCCATTTTACATGACATTTATTGCCATATACTGAAAGTAGCAGCAGATAGTTCACCTTGCATCTTGAAAATAAACTGTTTGAAATTTAACTTTATGGGCCCTATCATACACCCGGCGCAGGTTGGCGCATGGCACGGCACAATGGTCTTTTGGTAGTTTCAGCTTGGCGCAAGAGTTGTTTTGAGGCGTTGCGCTACACTGTATAAATAGCAAATGCATTAGCGCTCATTTGTGCACCCATAGGCGTTCTGGTCTAAAAAGGAAGGCGTTCTAAGGCGCACTACTGACGCGTTGCTATTTTGAGAAACTATAATAGATTTTTCATTAGACCAAAACTAACCCGGTCTAAACTCCGGCGCAGAGTTGCGCCTCGCTCACGCACTGCTTAATACGCACAAGAGAGCAATAGGCAAATATCTTTACATATGAAAATATTTAAATATTAAGGATATATATATAGGATATAATAAGAATAGATATAGGATATAAATATAAAGGATTAAAATATTACAAAACATATTATTTTCTAGCCTACATTCAGTAAATATGAAAAATCACTGCTTTTATGTCTTCTTCATCTCGGGAGGCTTTTTCAGTTCATTCATAACAATTTGCTTTGTATAATGTTATTATTATTAGCAGTATTATTTATTATATCCATATTTATATTTGTTTTATTAAAAACAAGCTTAGATTTGCCCACCTGTCAGGTTTTAGACCATATGGGGCACAGCATGTGTTTTAGGATATAACTCAGGTTTTTAAGCACATTTTGCTATTATTAGTCATTTATTCATTTGCTGGAAATTAGAACTGAATTTAGAAATAGTTTTGAAACGAATATTTGCGCTTAACAAACAAAAGTATTTATGTATAAACTAATTGATGTCTGTGCGTAAAGGTTTCCCTATCCAAGAGCGAAAATGAAAGTAGTTCCATTATCTCTCATTCTCACGCAGTAGATGCTCTGTTTAACAGTTTTCTGTTAAAAAACTGTTAACTGTTTGCTTGTGAAATGCTCATTTTTTCCACTTAGACTTACTTTGCGTCCTGTAAATAGCGAATGCGCTTATGGCGCGATGCAGCTGACTCTTAAAGGGAATGGGAGATGAGACTCTAATTGGTTTATTCTCAAAACACACCAATAACTCATTAAGAAAATAAACTCAACCCTTTTAGACCATGCGCCACAGCGCAAGGCAGATTTCTCGTCCTTAAATTAGCAAAAACGCGTCCTGACACGCCCTGAAAGCGTTTGTGCCCTGCGTTTTGCGCTCTGCGCATGGACCGTCAAAATAGAGCCCTATAACTGCGATTCAGTGCAAGTCAACACATATTAGTGATTTAGCATCTACATTTAATGATGTTAAAGAACATTAATATCTATTAATTAGATAACAAACTTTACTATTTCATTAGAGTGCAGTAAGTGCACTATTCGGTGCTTTAGAATGGCTGTATTTAAGTTTCTGCCATGTTTCTTCTGGTGCATAATGGTACCAGCTCACCTGTTGTTTACATTCATAATATTTTTATTATATGCCAAATAATAACCACCTCTTGAGGAACTCTGAATCTGCGTCTCATTTCGGTAGTGGACGCACACTTGAGAGCATTCTTGACTGAATGACTGAAATATGCTGTTTTCCACCAAGGCAACCCAGGGTGCTGAAATTTGATTGGCTAAACCGGCATTGGGATAAATGATCAAAACAAAAACAGCAGTTCTGGCACGTAACACACATTTTCAAAGCAGAATATCTGACTTCATTGTTTTTCACGTGAACAACTATGTTCACTTGGCATGTTTTTTTAAATATCTGCAAAACATATTATGGTATTTTTATGCTTTAGAGGAGTCAAAAACTTACATATTGAACCTTTAATTTGCTTGTTTTCAGTAAATAATTTGTAGAAATTTTCATTTTCATTCATTTTGAATTTGACTCTTATGAAAATTTGCAATGTTTGCTGCCATGTTTATTAAATAGGATAAACATGAGATAGATATAAAAAATAGTTGAAAATAGTTGTTCTGAATAATGACACTGTTGTCTTGCATAGAGCTGCTGAATCCAATTTTTGACACAGCACCATTAACTCAAGCTAACTCTACTAACTCAAGCTGAATAACTATATTATTGACTTCATTGTGTAATGGAAGTCGACAGGTAAAAGCTGCAGAGGTTTATTTTCCTGCAAGTCTATTGTCACTGAATTATTCATTTATTCGATTAGTTCTCAGTAATGAAGTGATTCATAGGTCAATCATAAAGATTGATTTAAAATCAACCATCAATAAAACACCGCTTGCCTTGAGATGAGTAAGTGAAGTCAGTTGAAAGCCACATATATGGCCACATATATTTTTGGCCTTTTATTCTCATTATCCTTTTAAAACCAAACACACAATAGCACAGAGATTCTTTGGAATAATATGACTAAATATATTTAAGACTAATCAAAAACTAAATATAAGACCATTTGAAACTTTGTAAAGGTATATTAACCCGAAAATGAAAATTACCTCACCATGCACTGAGGATTTAGGTGTTTCTTTTTTCTGTTAAACAATAAAGAAGATATATTGTAAAATGTTGGTGGATGGTACCCATTGTCTATTTTTCCATACTATGAAAGTCAATGGGTCCCATCAACCAGCATTCTTTAATATATTTTTGGTGCGCATGTATAACAAAAGAAAGAAACTCAAATAGGTTTTGTACAAGGTGAGTAAATCATGACAGATATTAAGGTCTTTCAGGCCTTCAAAAGAAAATTAGACACCCTGATATCCTTAATAAAGCCCAGTTAGGGAATCCTGCTAGGGTGAGCAGAACCAGAGGGGTTGCATTGGTGCTGTGACCCAGATGAAGTGAGATTTAGGGATGTGAGTGTGAAGCCCAGAGTATGCTTCAGTCATCTGCTTTCTGCAGCATTCCCCACTGTTTTTTTAATATTTGGTCATTGCTTTCTATTTCAGCACAATGTATCTACTGTACCCTCTCTGTGACAGAGAAGACTGGAGTTATTCCTGCAACCCAAAGGTAAAAGACACTCACCACTTTGTTGGGGTCATTGCGATGGTTCTCCATGCAGTGCTTTACTAGTTCCTGCTGGTCCAAATTGCGAGCTCCACAGTACGGGCAAACAAATGTGGAGCGGTTTGGAATATTGCTGTAAATCAAAGAAAAAAATCAAAATGTTAACCACATGGTCTGATCAACCAATTTCACATCCACAGTATTACATAATACAAGCAAAAGAGTAAATGGTGAATTTTGTTCTGTAACAAACTGATTATTAGTGCTGTCATCATGAATAATGCAAATATGCAACCAGAGGGCATTTAACACTGTGAACAACAATATCTTATTTTGTGTTCAACAGAAGAAAGATATTTATAAAAACTTTGGAACCACTTGAGGGTGAATAAAGTGAAGAATTTGTCTTTTTTTTGGGTAAACTAATCATTTAATATGCAAACGGGTCATTGGAAACATATCTTCCATTACCTGCAAGCAGTTTGGCACAAACACTGACTCTACCGACCAACATATTACATTTTGCATAATAAAATTACAGATTTAAAATAAATTCCAGTGCATTTATTAATTTATTTTGTTTGCAATTACTATTGCTCTTATTTCCACAAACCATTTACATCAGACTGACATGTGAAAGGGTGAAATTAACAAAAACAATTGGCACCAAAACAACCCAAACAAAAGTTGTTTCTGATGCTGCAATTTTAACTACCTGTGCTTTGATCGGAAAACATACAACAAATATATAAAATATACAGGGTATTTACAAGTGAATGTCTTTAAAGTACATTCACACACCATGTTAACCTGTTAGCCAGCACCCACTTTTGGGGATTTACACCTACCTTACTTTAAACAGTAACAGTTATTGACCCCAGTGAGCTACAAACAAAAATTAGGTATCATTGGAAAAAAAGACACTTTGGCAATATGGTCCAGTTTCATGGGAAGTTTCATGCTAGAAAAATGATTAAAAAGTTATACATTATGAAGTAATGAGGAAAAAAAAATGTATTGTGTTCAATATTTGTTTTTCCATATTGAAACACATTAATGTAAAACATTTATGTAATAACCTAGAAAAAAATATGCCTTGAAAGCCAAGTGTCTCAGCTATCTCAATTGGTAAGCTCAATTGTCTTTTGGTATCTAGATAGAAGTGGCTTAGGTTAGTTGAAAAATTCTCCTGAAATGGTTTTATAGGCTCATTTATTACCACATGAATTGACAAAACAATGAAAAAAGATCTATTTGGACCATATTTCTTACATCAATAAATATTTTTAAAAAATTGACTAGATGCCTTGTTTACAATTTGTTCAGCTGCAGTGTCAGAGAGGTCTATTGTAGCTAGATGGAGCGAGTGAACTAACTTTAAGCCACCAGAATCACCTAGGTTGCTCCAGAATTGTGTTGTGGATGATATTTAGGCTTAATTATAATTAAATGAGTTTTAGGCATCCTTGCACCAGCAGAAAAAGTCATGGTAATCATAAATTGCTCCAGTATGAAACAAAGCACAAACGTGCAATAAACATTTTTTTTCATAAGGAAAACTTGTTACCAATCAAATGCTGCCTGGGGCATGCATATTAATGATCCTGTGTGGACAGTCGGTGTTTAGTTTCAATTGGCCTGTTTTTCACACAAGAACGAATAAACAATAGTGTTTGTTTGAGAATCACAGTATGTATGTAATTTCCATGTAATTAACTTATACTATTCAGCTATGCTGTAACGATTAACCTGACTTGTGATTTGATACGGTTCAAGTGGTGTGGAGAGGTAAGCCTTTACTGAAACACAGAGCAATGTCTACAGAGGTGGTCAATAGGCCCCCTGCTCCAAACGACAGGTAACTGAGATTAAAAAAAAATAAAATAAAATTAAAAACTGATAATAAAATGACTAATTATTTACTGTAGTAAGGTAGAGACAGGAGTTGATCATGATTATGAAGGTGAATAATTAATATTACCTGTATAATTCATTACTTTAAGTATCAGTGTGACACACTTAAAAAGAGATAATCTTCAACATTTATAAATATTTAATTATAATAAGCAAATTATTTAAATATGCATAAAATAATTTGAAAAGGAGAGGGTAACATAATCAAACAGCTGCTTCTGTAACAGAACAACTTTCTCTTTCATTATGAAAAACATCTTCACACTTTCACTATGAAAACACTGATGCACCGTGTGATCATCAGAGCAAGCGGAGCTGCAGATTATCCACTTCCTTGGTTTGGCTTGTTAAAAGTTTTTTTTCTAGTCTGTGACAGTAGTCTTTTTCACTGCTGACAGTTTATGAGCACCATATTCGTTATTCTTTTAGTGTAAGTAATCGTCTTTTTGCAGTATTTGCACACAAATTGTGTTTTATCTAGTGCACTTCTCCACTTCCACCTCTTGCTCACCGCTGATGTGCAGGTAAAGCGAGTTTACACCTATAAACATAGCTCCGCCTCTGTTTAAAATAATATCAAGATTTGTTCAACATTTCTACCGGTTTGAATCGTCATATATTTTTAAATCAATTTTCAACCGACTCATGATGAATCATTACATCCCTAACGCTTATGTATATCCAGATTTTTATTTTATGGCACCTTAAGCGATCAATCATGATGCAGGAGCCAAATACACAATTGAAGTCAAAACTATTAGCTCTCCTGTGAATTATGTAATGTCATCATGGCAAAGATAAAAAGTAATCAACTAGATTACTAGATTATCTAAACAATTAGAAATGAGTTATTCAAACTATTACATTTAGAAGTGTGTTGAAAAATTATTCTCCGTTAAACAGAAATAGTAATACAGGAGGGCTAAAAACTTTGACTTTAACTGTATTTTTAATCCTGCATTTAAATGCAGCTTGAACACCCTGATGGTCTGGCAACAACATTTGCTTGCTCAGTAAGAGCCTTTTTATATTTGACTTGCAAAGAGCCATCAGCAAACAGCATGAAAAAGACTTCAACAGACTGAGAAATAGCAGGATTAATAAATGAGTCTTGAGCAGACAAGCATATAGGATCTTAATGTCTCTAACACAGTCATTTTGACAGTAACAACAATCTTGCTACTTAATCAGGCAGTGTGTATGCATCAAATGCCCATTCACTGAAATCTCCACCTCCACCTGGCCAACTCTTAAAGGAAACATAAAAAATCCAAAATGCTGCAAACACAATCAATTCTTAAAACTAGATAAATTGTAAAATCTTTTCCTGACTTGGCGTGTATATTTACTTGGAATTTGTCAATGAATTAATGTTGATTCTAGTATTTCACAGAGTGTTTTTTTTTTTTTTTTGCTCATACAGGTACCTTGGTTGGTTGTAAACAGCTGACTCATGAAGCTTTTTATATTCTTTGTATTTTGTGGTGTTCACAACAGTGACAATGGTTTCCAGGGGGTTTTAAACTTTGTATTGACATATATCTAACTTTATTTTAATTTATATCAAGAAATTAAATTAGTACAATACATGTGTCCAAAAATACATACAATTTTTACATGCAAAGACAGCTGGCTTAGACTGAATATCACTAATGAGAAGATTCCTTATTGACATTGGGATGACTGACATCGTTATATGACCTGCAACAATAACTAAGTGCACTACAGAATGTTATGTTCAAACTGCATAAGCATATCGTGTATACACTCACTGGCCACTTTTTTAGGTACACCTGTCCAACTGCTTGTTAACGCAAATTTCTAATCAGCCAATCACATGGTAGCAACTCAATTAATTTAAGCATGTAGACATGGTCAAGACGATCTGCTGCAGTTCAAACAGAGCATCAGAAAAGGGAGGAAAGGGGATTTAAATGACTTTGAATGAGGCATGGTTGTTGGTGCCAGGCGGGCTGGTCTGAGAATTTCAGAAACTGCTGATCAACTGGGATTATTTTAGTGACTATTTTAGTGTTTACAGAGAATGGTCAGTAAAAGAGAAAAATATCCAGTGGACAGCAGTTCTGTGGGTGCAAATGCCTTATTGATGTCAGACGTCAGAGAATGGTAACACTGGTTTCAGCTGATGGAAAGGCAACAGTAACTCAAATAACCACTCGTTGCAACCAAGGTATGCAGAAGAGCATCTCTGAACACACAACACGTCCAGCCTTGATGCAGATGGGCTACAGCAACAGAGGACCACACAGGGTGCCACTCCTGTCAGCTAAGAACAGGAATCTGAGGCTACAATTTGCACAGGCTTACCAAAATTTGACAATATAAGATTGGAAAAACGTTGCCTGGTCTGATGAGTCTCCATTTCTGCTGTGACAATTAGATGGTGGGGTCAGAATTTGGTGTCAACAACATGAAAGTATGGATCCATCCTGCCTTGTATCAATAGTTTAGGCTGCTGGTGGTGGTGTAATGGTGTGGGAGATATTTTCTTGGCACACTTCTGGCCCCTTAGTACCAATTGAGCATTATGTCAACGCCACAGCCTACCCGAGTATTATTGCTGCCCTTGTCCATCCCTTTATGACCATCTTCTGATGGCTACTTCCAGCAGGATAACACGCGAATCATCCGAGACTAGTTTTTTGAACATGACAATGATTTTACTGCAGTTAAATGGCCTCAGCAGTCTCCAGAAGTCAATCCAACAGAGCACTTTTGGGATGTAGCTGAACAGGAGATTAGCATCATGGATGTGCAGCTGACAAATCTGCAGCAACTGCGTGATGCTATCATGTCAATATGGACCAATATCTCTGAGGAATATTTCCAGTATCTTGTTGAATCTGTCACAAAGGATTAAAGCAGTTCTGGAGGCAAAAGGGGGTCCAACCAAGTGTGCCGCAAGCCTGCGTTTGAGTGAAGGTCTCGGCCGTTAGATCGCCCCCTGGGGGCTGGCTGCAGTACAAGTCATAAAGCCCGCCTTCTCCGTGTAAATGAAGGAGACTTGAGCCCAAATAAAAAAATTTATTACACTTGCAATAAAATGTCCCGAAAGATGGTTCTGGTCGATTAAGGCACTGGTTATTGTGCTGAAATAGGTGCAGATCCTCATTTTTGTAAACAGTTTGTTTTTAGCAGTAATTTAATGCTAGGCGTGTCATCGTGATTGACAGCGGTGATTGACAGTTTCTCAAAGAA